CGCTCGGTGCGGCTGGTCTGCTTGGGATACGGTGAACAGTGCCGGACTCCCTGTCCCCCCTTTTCCCATGTCGACGAGTGTGTTTATGTCGTAAGTGATGCGTGTTCAGCCAAGTTTAAGAGCCGCCCTGTCTGCAAGACGCCATGGAAACGTCACCACACATGGATCCATCCGTCCTTATGAGGACCGGCCGTTCCACGTCACACGTGTTGGTTACCTGTTACTACACTATTATGATGATTGTCCACCTGCGACCACCGGCAGCAGCGGGTAACCTGGTGAAGCGTCCGCACATTAGCACCTGTGTTTACTGACTTTCTCTTGATCCTTCCTGAGACCAGAGGATCCAGATTTCTGGTTTATTAAACCGGACTAACCTCACGTAAACGCACAGTCAGCTGACGCTGTTGGCCTCCAATGATGTCACAGATATATCTGTGATCAATAGGTATTTATATGGATCCTACCTACCGTTTGTTCTCTGGCTAACATGGCAGCAGACCAGCTGACTGCTAACTGTTCATGTTAACCGGCAGCTAAGCTAGCGTTAGCAACAAGGGGCAGAAGCAGTTGCTAGTTAGCTTAGCATGGCTGGTCTGAAGTTAGAGGTAACTAAGAAGCCAACAGATCCCATCCAGCCCTTTTCATATTTACTGACGGACTAAAGAGGAGGATCTCTGCTGACTGAAGCCGCGCGGCTAACCGTTAGCCACGGTACTACCCGGCTAACAGAACTCCACCGTTAGCATCTCAGCATAGCAATGCTAACAATACAAAATTCTGTTTGAAATTTAACAGATTAGCATGGCCCTGCTCACCAGTAGAAGCACACAACTCTTTAACAGACCGATAACCGATCAGCATGTCCATTCATAAATTCGGCATCCGTGCATTTAACCGGACACGGTTTGTTTCAGCACAATATAAACTTAAGAAGTGTTTAGGTGGGAACTTGCTGCAGTCCTGTGTGGCGCATTTTGACCCCAGCCAGAGCGGAGGACCATGGGACCAACATCCTAAAATCATGTTTATCATCTAACTAAACCACTTCTTATGTACATGATCTGTACCGAAGCGACACGCGGCACCAATCAAGTCACAAAAAGTCACTATAATTATTCGACGGGGTTTACTGTTTCACCGACACCAACGGCAACCTTAATCTGACAGGTTTTTAAAGGGAGTCTGGCATTGACTTATCTGAGCAGTGACCAAGCTGACGTTAGCAAAAGAATTAGCATTGTGTTCAAGTCCTGAACCACCCGAGCCCGTGACTAGCCCTCCCGCACGGTACTGATCGGGCTTTTAACGCCGATCAAACGTTCCGTGCTGCTACCGGCGGGCTGCGGGGCCTGTCGCGGGGGGGAAGAGCTCTCACACCGCGGACTGGAGCAGCCGCTGAGGCCGGGACGGAGAAAGCAGCTCGGGCTTCATAAATGTTCGGCTCCCCGCTCATGACAGCGAAGTGAAGACGTGTTTTTACCTGGACAGGTTCCTGCAGCACCGTCATTCCGCTTCCAGACTCCGTCCGCCTGCTCTCGTCGTCTTTTCTCTCGGCGCTTTCTTTACTTCAGTCTCCAGGAGGAGCTGCGGCCGAAGATTTGAACACACCGACCGTTACCAGCCGAACGTAGCCGAGTAATGCCGAGCAGGGCACAACGAGAGGGCGGAGAAGGACGAGTGTCGGCGGAAAGAACCGAAGCAGCTGCTGCGCCCCCTGCTGGTCAAATAGACATAAAGCAGGAAAGAAACACGTCGCCTCCCGGTGGTGAAAGTGAGAAACACTATTTCTTTGTGTTTGAAGAGAAAACCCACCGCTGCGAGTGTTCTAGTATCAGAGGCTGAAAAAGACGAACATCTTAACCTGTTGGAAACGGCCATCTTTTCCAGCACAGCCAAAATGAACCAGGAGTAACTCCTGGATGCATGATTCTGGTCTCCTTTGAAATGTCAGAAGCTAAGGAATAAAATCCATTGTAAATAAATACATATTTATTTATCATTACACACCAAATGGACATCCAATAAAGAAAATTATAATATTTTCATCCTCACCTGGTAAAAAAGCTGTATTTTAATGCAATAAACCATGAAAGCCATCATAAGAGGGACTATAATGCAACTGAACTGGGTTCAGGTCTGAGCAGGCCAGGCTGGGAGGCCAGCGTGGCCCCTGGGTCCGTCCAGATGAGTGATCTTCTAAAACACCTGGAATACAACTAACTGTAAATTTGATGAAAATAAACTAAAATACAACAGCTATATATTTACCAGGTTTATTTACTGTTGACTTTTCTTGGGAGGTTTCTTTAAAACACTATTTCTGTCCATGTTCCAACTAACAGAAAGCTTTCAAAACATTGAAATATTGATAAAAACAGTGAATATTCATCAACATTCCTGTGACCAAAATCCCTCCCGTGCTTTACAGGCGTGTAGCTTGAGAACAGATCCCACGGGGGGGCATCAATCGATCCGGATTGAGCAGACCTTGATACCCTAGATGTCTGTGTTGGTCCTACAGTTTGGCCACTAGACCGCGAAAAAGGCCGAGTGTTCCTACTTCCCTCTACAGGAAAGGTGAGAGACAGCGGGCGCACAGGACATGTTCTCGTGTTTTACCATGTTAGCCCGATTCTTTCAGGTGCTGCTGTGTCGGTGTTGCCACGTTCAAAGCTTTGGGTGCTGAATTAGAAGTTGTTCAACTCACTTTCAGAACTGCTCCCCACCCACCTGAACAAATCAAATCTCGTTCATTAAAACGAACGTATCTTTTTTTGTGTGTCATTTGGTTCATTTGAACTAGGCTGGTTATCGCGGCGCTGCAGCCCTCTAGTGGGCGATTTAAAAACAGCACAGTTCTCAAACACTGAAAGCTGCCTGGTTTGCTTTAATTGACAAAGTATAATTCACAAATTCACCTCTTGATCTTTCTCTATCATGGTTCTATAAAGGAGCCACAACCAAATTCAAACCATCAAAAAACCACAGAAATATGTTGTCAATATTCAATTAAGCCACTCCTCCGGCTAAATCCGTCCATTTTCACAGTCTTTCCTGAGTTTACAACCAGACCAGCCATCTATATACTGTATATATAATTATAATTCCTGTCATTATATCTCTAAAGTGCTCATTCATACAGCAGCCTAACGCCTATCCATGAGTACCATCTATATATGAACATCAGATTTACAGGGAATATATTGAAGTAATAAGCTTGACACACTAGATGAATAAAACACACTCTTATTAAAATTTAACAAAGTTCTTTGTTTTTTATTTATTTCAGTCCTCTCAACATCAACACAAAAATCCAAACACGAAACAAAGGAGAGAGGCACAAGGCTGCCTTCACATACATAGAAAAACTAAAAGGAGTAGAATATTTGTGCCCCTCTTACTCTTTTTCTTTATTTTCTTTAATAAGGACAAGACGGGGCAGGGACAACATGCAAAGACTAAACAGGGAAAGACGCGACTCAGACATAGACAAGCGTTCACTCATACATCCACACCCTCCTTCCTAGCGCCCTCAGATCGACAGTTTTCCTCCTTCTAAATTATATTGAACTCTTCTTAGGTGAGATGAGCTATATTCTGTCTAATCAATGTAGTTTTCGTCTATTTAGTCGATGCAACTTTTGTCATACTTCTTGCCACCATTTTCTGCCTTAACTATTTCTAAATTTGGTTCAGTGGGTGGTTTCCTCTTTTTTCCTGTGTTAATTGTTATTGCTATAAATAAAAGTTTATAAAACCTCCAAGCTCTTAAAAGAACTCCAGCACAGAGAGAGGACAAAGAAATAAACACATCATATAATCGC